TCGATAAATATGGTCGATATTAACGCACTTTGAAAAGAAATATTTCTTTTTTCAAAGTGCGTTAACGTGGTCCCAAAATTAACGGACTTAGAAAATTTTTTTTCAAAGTGCGTTGTAACAAAGCGGTAATTAATTAAAAAAGATTGCATTGAAATCCATGGGGACAAGCGATTTTTTTAAAAATAAAAATTCAAATAATATCAATAAATACTGGGCTGGAAAGACAATTAATTGCATTGCAATGACAATTGAAAACATTTTTTTTTTTACCAGATAAGACGTTTAAAATTGATTTTTTTATTAATTAAAAACAGAGGGAGATAACTCTTATCAAAGTTCAAGTTCATAAATTAGGACATCCCACCCTTACATGCTAATAGTAATAAAAGGGAATTATGTCTAAATACATCAAGTATTCAGCACCTACACATCTGTTATGTACAGTAGTGTGACATAAATGAGTTCGCAAAATGGCCACCGTCAACGCAAGTATTTAAGAAGGGTAGTGAATCAGTTGCTGAATTAACGTAACCGCTACTTTTAAGGTCAAAATATTTGGTATGAGTTTTGGTACGACTTAATTAAAAGAGTCCATTGTTGTAAAATTGGATTATTCCCCTTTGATAAACAATTATCGTCTGCTTGGAGGCATGGCTCCCCATGGTCGAGAATTGACTAGTAATCTAAAAAAAATAATCATACAGATGTCAAATGAAGGTCTTTCAAGCTATAAAATTGAGAATCTAACCGGAATAAACAGTCGCACCATCCAAAAATATCTCAAGTGTGTAAGGGAAAGAGGTAATATAGAAAATTTACCGAGAAGTGGGGTAAAACGAAAAACTTCACAGAGAGATTACAGGGTTCTTTTCCGAAGCATTAAAATCAATCGTCTTCAGACTTTAAAAGACATTACAACCAGATTCAATGCTAGGACAGGATCTAATGTGTCACTCAGAACAGTTCACAGACGATTATCAGAGGAAGTTACAAGAGGTGAGTAGTTCTAAGAAAACAACTGATTCACGCGTGAATAGAGAGAAGAGAACCAGATTTTGTAGACAGAAATTGCACTGGACAGTAAACAATTATTGGTCATCCATAATATTCAGTGACGAGACTAAAATAGTTATTGGAAAAAATGATAAAGTTCATGTCTGGAGGAAGAGTGATGAAAGAATACGTCCTGAATGTGTCGGATTGCGTGGTGATTGGGAAACGAACTGTCGGGCCTTCCTCATGTTTTGGGGCTGTATATGTTATAATGGATTTGGCACCTTAAAATCTGTGGATGGGAACATGAATAGCGAGAAATATGTTACAATTCTTGATGAGTGTCTTTGGCCTGTGATCGCTCGTCATTACCAAACCGGACTTGGACTTTCCAAGAAGACAATGAACCCTGTCATGTCTCCGCCTTCTCAAATCGTTTGAAACAGGACAACAATGTTAACACTCTACCGTGGCCCCCCACAAAGTCCTGATCTCAATATAATTAAAATGTCTGGAGAGTGCTCAAAATCTGTGTACAAAAGAGGACACATGAGGTCAGAAACGCGAATGATCTGGAGCGAATCGTCAATGAAATATGGGGTAGCCTCCCTTTGCACTATATTCAGAGCTTTTATGCAAGCATTCCCAGGAGAATTCGAAGTGTTCACACTACTGTATTCAATTTCATTGAATCTGTTGCTATTAGGGATGGAATACCTTAACTTCTTTATTGCTGATTCAACATCCAACTTCTTCAGCTATCTTCTGAATGCCTAACTTTCCCAAAGCTTTGCCTTATATGCCCTTTGGTTTGGCTAGTCCATTCCAAGGGTTGTCAGGTCATTCCATTTTTTAGGTCTTCAATGCATTTTACTCAAATGGCCCTTAACCATTACATCTAAATATTCCTATGTAAAACTATGACCCACTGTTGTGGCCCCGCCCTACTCCTGGGGGTCATGATTTGAACAAACTTGAATCTACACTCCTGAGGATACTACTTTATTGATATTACTAATAATGGCATAGCTGTTCTTGAGAAGAAGCTTTTAAAACATATTTCTTATATATTCCTATGGTAAACTTTGACCCCCTGTTTTGGCCTTGCCCTACCCCCACGGTTCATGATTTGAAAAAAACTTGAATCTACACTACCTGAGGATACTTCTATTATAATATGACTAATCATGGCTTTGCTGTTCAAGAGAAGATTTTTAAGGACATTTCCAATATATTCCTATGTAAAACTTTGACCCCCTCTTGCGGCACCGCTCTATCCCCGGGAGACATGATATGAACAAACTTGAATCTAGAGTATGTAATTATGCATGTTTATCACATAAGTTTCATCTTTTCTTACCAAGTGGTTCTTGAGAAGATTTTTGAAATGATACCACCAAATTTTCACAAATTCTTAATTATCTCCCCTTGAAAGAAGGAGCGGCACTTCCTGGTAACAAACTTAAATCCCCTTTACCCAAGAATGTTTGTGGCAAGTTTTCTTGAAATTGGTCCAGTGGTTCTTGAGAAGAAGTCAAAAATGTGAAAAGTTTACGGACTACAGATGACAAACGGACGCCAGACACTCTTTGATCAGAATAGCTCACTTGAGCCTTCGGCTCAGGTGAGCTAAAAAGTAACAGTCATTTTGCTTCTTGCTTATAATTTTGTTTTGTGTTGTTTTTTCATGAAATTACTTGCACGTAAGTATCTTAAGAGTGCCCCTGACTGTCCGTAGACTTACAATCAACTTTAATCGTAACTCTTAGTGAAACGCACGTACGTGCTATGTTCAAATTTACGTCTATGTTTACGAGCTATGACCTGTTAGTGAAACGGACGCCTGTGGTCATGAATTTCTCATTTTTTTAGAAGACTCAATTCTTATTTCTATTATGCCAACAGATTTACTGCTTGATGTCCAGAGTAAAGGTTATTAAAGATAGTACTGATTTTGATGGTTTTAGCCACACCCCTCAGGCCCCAGGGGATAGGGACCATTAATTCGATTTTTTGTACCCCTTCTCCTATTGATGCTATATTACCAAATTGGTTGAAATTGGTTTAGCAATTCAAGAGAAAAAGCTAAAAATGTTCATTTTTTCCAACCGACTGACAAAAACAGAGAGCAATAGGTCATTTGATTGATTCAGGTGACCTAAAAATTACTCACAAGCAGACACCTTACCATTCTTGAGAGCAAAAAATTCACAAGAAACCATTCAATAAAGTAATGATAACAATATAAAATATTATGTACATGAAACTTATATTACTTATATTAACAAACAACAACAAAATTAATTCATTTGTGTTCAACACAATGCATTTACAGTGACTTCAATACAGAATAATTGTATTAGTATTTATATAAAAATGTAACTACATTCATAATCAAACATGGAATATTTGCTTTAGGCCACAAATAACCCATATAATATCGCTATACAATTGGCAAAACGTTTTAAGACCGTAAACTGCAAAATTTAAGTAAGCCTAACTTTAAAATGAAAATAAAATCGAATTTTCATCATATTTCTGTATTTGAAAGTAATTCAAACTTGCAACGTTTTGAACTTCTTAAACAAACAAGAGGCCCATGGACCACATCGCTCACCTGAGCACTGTGGCTAGGAAAAAAGCAAAAATCAGTTTAGTATTGAAAAGTTTAAATGCATTAGTGGTCCCGACCTACACCTAAAAGGGGGGTGGATGGGGGGTATGATATGATTAAAAACTAAGAATGCTTAAATATTTTTCTGATTAACTGTGGCTTTTTTCCCTAACGTTTGAACTTTCATTGTGGTCCCACCCTACCCCCGGGGGTCATGATTTGCATAAATTTGAATGTACACTTCCCAAGGATACTTCCACATAAATATGACCAACATGACTTTGCTGTTCTTCAGAAGAAGACATTTAAAAGATTTTTCCCTACATATTACTATATAAAACTTTGATTGTCCATTGTAGCTCCACCCTACCCCCGGGGGTCATGATTTGCACAAACTTGAATGTACACTTCCCGAGGATACTTCCATATAGATATGACTAATCATGGCTTTGCTGTTTTTCAGAAGATATTTCAGATTTTTCCTGTATATTCCTATGTTAAACTTTCATTGCCCATTGTGACCCCATCCTACCCCGGGAGTCATGGTTTGAACAAACTTGAATCTACACTACCTGTGGATGCTTCCATATAAATATCACCAATCATGGCTATCCTCTTCTATAGAAGAAGAAATTAAAAAAAAAATTCCTCTTTATTCCTATGCAAAATTTTAATCGTCCATTATGGCCTTACCCCTACCCCCGGGGGTCATGATTCAAACAAACTTGAATCTACACTATCTGGATGCTTCCACATAAATATGACCAATCATGGCTTTGCTATTCTTGAGGAGCAGATTTTTAAAAGATTTTCCCTATATATTCCTATGTAAAACTTTGATCGCCCATTGTGACCCCACACTATCCCCGGGGGTCATGATTTGAACAAACCTAAGTCTACACTGACTAAGGATGTTTCCACATAAGTTTCATCATTCCTGCCCCAGTGGTTCTTGAGAAGATTTTTAAAAGATGCCATTAATTTTTCACGAATTTGTAATTATCTCCCCTTGGAAGAGGTTGTGGCTCTTCATTTAAATAAACTTGAATTCCCTTGACCTAAGGATACTTTGTGGTAAGTTTTGTTGAAATTGGCCAAGTGGTTCTTGGGAAGAAGTCAAAAATGTCAAAAAAGTAAAAAAAAAAGTTTACTGACGGATAGACAGCTAGACGGAAGGACGGACAGACGGACGCCAGACAAAATGTGATCAGAAAAGCTCACTTGAACCTTCGACTCAGGTGAGCTAAAAGGGTAAAAATCAAGATAGCAATCTCTAAATTTTGACTTAAATCTGCTCTTAGTTTACGGTTTTTGCACCAGATTGATAAAAGAATCTTTGACATTTCTCAAGCTATGCACATTAACGACTTTACACATCAGCAACTGATACATATCACGTGTTAATAACCCTTTCTATTCCCTCAAAATCGACTTCGTCTTTGAATTCTTTGATTGCAGCAAGGAGCTTCTTCACACTCGCTTGCCCCCCCTCCTTCCTTTTCCACTCACAAAGTATTTGGAACACCTGTATCTTCACACCGTGATTCTGGTAATCAATCCTTATTTGTTGGATTGTAGCGTTGTCTAGGCCAAGACAAATCCCTATTTGGAAAATGGTTCCAATTTGTCCACTGACCGTCATCAGTTCTTTGTCTGTTGGTCTTCGTTCTAAAGAATCAACTGAAAAGTTTTTTTTAATTAAATATGAACAGTACAATATTTACAAACAGAAACTAATGTGTTTCCTCCTAAAATAATAGTCCTTGTCATGACTATAACTTATGACTTTGATGAACCTGAGTAAAGGTCATGATGTAATTTAAAGACTTTGAGACCAAGTACACAAAACACAATATTTTAAGGCTCTAGTTCCCATGGCAACACCGCTCAATGAACTAAAAATCAATAAAGAAACCATGCCAAGTTTTATTGTCTTGTTAGGGCCCTGTCACACCAAGCTGCGTCCACACGGAGTTATTACGGCGTTGTAAAAATTTTAAAATCGCAGTGGAATCGCAGGAAAATTGCACATATTTCTGTAAACTTTTTACAATGTGAAGATGTCACAGCATCCCTATGGAGACCCACGCGTTTCTACGGCATTCTCGCGGCGTGCTACTCCGTTCCCACGGAGATCTCATCGCGATTGACTGCACTTCCGCTGAGCTTTTACGGCGTGTTAGGAGTTGTCACCTCGCGTTCACGGCACTTGCTGCGTTCGCAATGCGTTCTTCAATATGGGTATATATTCAGAAGGAGTGTAACACATTTTTTTAAAGATTCAAGTCACATAACGAAAAGACTTCTACTTATGCCAAGAAATATTCTTTAATTAAAATGATCTATTTGAATAATTTAGTACTAAATTACTGACAATTTTATAATTAAAACCCTTCTTTTTTCAATTATATCAATTCAGATGTGTTTTTTTTTCTTTGATTTTATTATAAATATAAAAAAATAAACACACTGAAAAGGTGTTATAAAATTTAAGTAATTCCATCACAACTCCACTGAAACAACAGAACGAGTTCTGGTGTAATTTTTTGCTTCGCAGTTCCACTCCCATGCTCCTGGCCATGAGTGCAACGAATACGTTAGAATTATTGCTGGTCAAATATAAGGCCATTGTTCTTGTTTTGTGAGCTGTCTGACAATGCTCTAACAATGCCGTGAAAGCGCATTGGGATCGCAAAGGGACATGGTAGAAAAGCCAAGGGAGCGCAATGAACGCAGTAACACCTCCGTGTTGTCGCTGTGTAATCGCAGTCAAAAAAATCCCAAGGCAATTTATCTCATTGGAAGCGCCGTAAAAGCGCGATAGAAACGCAGTGACATCTCCAAGGACTCTGCCAGGTCTCCGTGGAAGCGCAGTTTTCTACCACTGCGTTCATGCTGCGATCATGTGCATCTTCACGGCGTGCGTACGGAGTTCCCACTGCATTGTTGGAGATCTCACCGCGCTGCTACAGCGATCATACTACGTTTCTACTGCGTTCTTATCAGACGGCGATCACACGGCGCGTACTTTGTGCATGCCCAAAATGCGCGCTGTCCTCTGGCGTTCTGGGAGACCCTACACGACCCTACCGCGTTCAGTGGAGATCTCGCCGCGTTGTCACGGCGCTGTAAGAGACTCTACTGTGCTCACCTCGGCGTTTTGCATTTTTTATGAACGTCGTGCGATCGCCGTGATGAAGCAGTCCCGGTGTGACAAGGGTTTTAGCAAATACAATATATCTGTAGGTAGAATGTGGACTGACGTCTTTAGGCCCATCCAAATTTAACTTGTGAACTTAAATTTAAACTTTCTATTATTACATCTGTCTTTATTCAACCCATAAAAATTAGGTTACAGTTTGGGTTATTGGCACATGGAATGCTGGATAGGAAAAACATCCTTATTGAACATTATTTGTAGAATAATATATCATACTTGAAGATCATGAGATGGTTTGACTCTGTATAGCCATGAATTTCCAAAAATGAGTCATAGATACCTAATTAGGGGTTACACCGAGACATACTGTGAGCACCTTTTTTACGGGGTCATAATTCCAAGCAATCACAATATCAGATTACATGTAATACATAAGGAAAAAAATACAATTTTTTTCTTTTATTGCAATTTAATGTCCTTAAGTACGCTGTGATAAAAAAGAAAATTCGTGACAACGTATATAGTTGAAGTAACCCCATGTAGAAAAAATGTACGTCTACGTATAAGATTTGATTGGTTGTATGAAGCGTTGATTGACAATGGTTTTCCTTTGGGTGTCTATTTCAACTGTTACCCTCAAAAACATGCACTATTTATATAATATTAAACAGTTCTTTATATAAACATTTAAATAAAACAGAAGTAAGAATGGACACTGAAGTAACGTACCTGGACTAAGAAGTCTTCCCTCCTCGTCCAAATTCTTCTGTTGCTGTTCCTGTGTGATAAAGAAATCACATCTCTTCATTACTTAACATACAAAGTAAGCAATATTGAATTATTCCCTCACATGATCTATGAGAGTCTGTATTAAATATTGCCTTAATGAAAGAACGTACAAATTTTCGATTCATTTAGCATTAAAATATCAAGGTGTTGAAAACAAGTCATAAATCATCTATAGCAAATTCAAAAGTTCATAGAAATATTTTGTTTTCAACAGAATTATTTCATTTTTTTTAAACTTAACATTGTGCTGAAAATTTGATTTTCATTAAAAATTGATATTGTCATTATAGTTGAGACTTCCAAAATCTGGTTATATCTTTTAATAATGTTACATAATGCTTTCTAATTACAAAAAAAAAAAAAAAAAAAAAAAAAAAAACTTGGTGATAACCTTTTGCTATTTCTATTGTATTTATATTTAATCATGTTAGTTAAAGACCCTATTCTACAAATTACCTGTTTCCAATATTTTGTGATGTCTCTTGTATTGATAATATGAATGTTCTTTTGTTTACAGGAAGGACACTGAAAAGTTGCTCGAGAAAACTCTGATTCACTTAGGACAGCACTCTCTCTGCTGTCACAAAATCCAGCAGGTTTACATTTGAACGCAACGTGGAATTCAGAGTTTTCCTGGAATGTGTTTGAAAGATCGTGTAACACACTCTCAAGTATTTCTCTTATTTGGTGGCATGTTGAAACATCGATATCTCCCTCTACAACGAACACCTGCAATTGAATTTCTGTCTGGGTCATTCCGATCAGAATATTATGGTGGCGGTCCTGATACATGAACTTAGCAGCAGTCTGGTATATGCATCCTTGGTCTCCAAAGGAAAAAATCCTTGAAGGATTCTGCATGCAAGTTGCTACAAGGCGGTGGAAAATTCCAGCTGGAAGAACATCGAACATGTAGCAGAGAATGGATGAGGCAGGATATGATGAAAACGCATCAACAGGAAATGGAATTTTGTTCATACAAGGAACATACCATTTTTCGCCATTCATTCTAGCCAGGAGCCCCAGCTTCTCCAAGTACAGCATAATATCATCTTTGTGTTCAAGGTATTCATTATTGTTCATTTTCCAAATCCTAGACAGCAAAGAGTCATTCAGTTCTCCAGTATCATTGAATTTGTCCCATTCTGAGGCACAATCAAATAGATCCTCCTTTGCATGGTTTTCATCAGTTATCACATTTTTGAATGCATCCGCAAACCACTGAACATCAAGGATGATTATTTCTCTGAGGAATTTCTGATCGAAATACAAAATTTCTCTGATATCATGGAAAAACTGCAGCATGGTATTGATATCTTCAACTGTCTCTAATTTTATGTCCAGTGGCAACGCTTCATTGAAATCCATAAGTGTTCCTCTATTGATAATTTTCAGGTTTTTCTTTTCCAGGAAGAAGTTTTCAAACATCACCCATGATTGTGGAAGCCTTTCACCCCAGTGATCAAGATTTTGAACAACATCAACAATTGCCTTTTTGATTTTCTTAATGCATTTTTTGTCATGAAATCCTACTGAAAACATCCTCCCTGTGTCAAGATGACCTTGCAGGGACTTGTCTTTCGTTTCCAAAGTTTTCCATACCTCACGAAAAAACTCGGCTTTCTCCTGCAGTTTAAAGTAAATTTATTAGAAGACAGAAGTGAGTGAAAAAAAGTGAACTAAAGATACGTCAGAAATTAGAAAAATTGCGTATTCATAAAAAGAGTACATTTTGAGAACAGAGCAAAACATGGATTCCTATAAAATGTGAAAATTGCTAAGTAAGGCAGATGAAAATGATGAGTCTTTTTAGCTCACCTGAGCCGAAGGCCCAAGTGAGGTTTTCTGAACAAGAGTGTCGTCTGTCATCTGAAAACTTTTCACATTTTCCACTTGTTCTCAGGAACCACAAGGCCAATTTCAACGAATTTAGCATCCTTGAGCTAAGGGGACTTAAAATTTGTTAACAGAAAGTGCCACGCTCTCTTTCAAGGGAAAATTATTATGAATTTGTGAAAAAATTTGTTAACAGAAAGTGTCACGCTCTCTTTCAAGGGAAAATAATTATGAATTTATGAAAAATTTGTGGCATGCTTAAAAAATCTTCTAATCAGGAACCTCTGGGCCAGAAAAAAAGGCAAACTTGTTTGAGAGCTTCATTACACACTGCACATGTGTTAATTCAAATTTGTTCATATAAAAATTTTATATGGGAATGCATAGGAAAAAAATCTTTAAAAATCTTCTTTTCAAGAACAGCAAAGCTATTATTAGTCATATGAATACAGAAGCATCCTCAGGTAGTGTAGAATGAAGTTTGTTCAAATCATGAACCCTGTGGGTAGGACCAGGCCACAATAGGGGATCAAAGTTTTACACACGAATATATTAGAAAAATCTTTCAAAATATTCTTTTCAGGAAAAGTGAAGCCAATATTAGTCACAGTAATATAGAAGCATCCTTAGGTAGTGTTGATTCGAGGTTGTTCAAATCATGATCCCTGGGTGAATAGTGGGGCCACAGGAGGGGATCAGGGTTTTACAATGAAATATATAGGAAATATCATTAAAAATCTTTTTCTAAAGAACAACAAAGACATCGTTAGTCATATTAATACTAAAGCATCCTTAGGTAGTGTAGATTGAATTGTGTTTAAATCATAACATCCGAGAATAGGGCAGCACCACAGCAGGGATCGAAGTTGTACATACGAATATAAAGAGGCCCAAATGCCTTGGAGTATCATGTAACAACTCTCCAACAATTGAAATGGATTCATGTTTTAACCAGAGGCCATAATAATCACAATTTTGAAAGAGGCACCGTTGTTCATCAAAACTCTACACTTAACATGCTCAGTTTGATTACTAAATACCCAGAGGCAGAACAACAAAAGGAAAATGCGTTTCCACAATATAATCAGTAGTGTCCCACCCGACAAGAACTCCTGATCCTGGGGGCACAAAATTCACAATTTTGGAAGAATCACTCTTGCTAATCAGAAATATGTACATAGTTCATTAGCTTTATACCCAGGAGCAGAGGAGAAGATTTTCAAAGAATTAATGCATTTTCACTATATAATCAAAAGAGCCCCGCCCTAACATCAGAACCCCTGACCCTGGGGCCATGAAATTCACAATTTTGGAAGAGGCACCTTTCCTCATTACAACTATGCATTAAGTTTGTTTGTTTAATACCCAGGAGCAGACACGATTTTCAAAGAAATAATGCACTTTCACTATATGATCTATATAGCCCCACCTTAGCACCAGAACCCCTGATCCTGGGGCCATGAATTTCACAGTTTTGGTAGAGGACTCAGTGGTTTTTACAATCATGCCAACAGTTTGACTGCTTGATGTCCAGGAGTAAAGAAGAAGATTTTTAAAGATAGCACTAATTTTGATGGTTTTAGCCCCACCCCTCAGGCCCCAGGGGGCAGGGACCATGAAATTCACAAACTTTGTTCCCCTTTACTCATAGATGTTATATGCCAAAATTGGTTGATATTGGTTCGGCAGTTGCAGAGAAGAAGCTGAAAATGTTCAAATGTTAATGCACAACACACGACGATGGACGAAAACAGATAGTAGTAGGTCACCTGAGTGACTCAGGTGACTTAAAAATCTTTGAAAATCTTCTCAAAAAAAAGCAAAGCTATGATTAGTCATATTAATAAAGAAGCATCCTCAGGAAATTTTTCAAAGAATGACCACTTGGGGTAGAGTGGGGCCATAACAGGGATCAAAGTTATACATAGGAATACATAGGAAATATCTTTAAAATCTTCTTCTCAATAACAGCAAAGCCATGATCAGTAATGCTTATATACAAGCATTCTCGGTAGTGTAGATTAAAGTTTGTTCAAATCATGACCCCTGGGTGTAGTGTGGGGCAGAAATCGGAGATCAAAGTTTAAAATCTATTCCCAAAGAACAGTAAATCCATGTGTAGTCATATTTGAATAGAAGTGTCCTCAGGTATTGTATATTCAATTTTGTCAAAATCATGACCCCCTCGGATAGGGTTGGCAGGGTTCGACATTCACCCTCGTCACCTCGTCATTTCCATCCCGGAATGATTTTGGACGACCTGATTTTCAGTCGGGCTCGCCCAAATGACGACCTGGGACGAGTTGGGAATATTCAATAATGATGTTTAATATTTTAAAATAAACTCTATAAGGCCTTGAAAACATCGTTTCCTGTAACCCGACCGACGGCCGACCCATTCAAATAGCAGCCGCGTGGATTTTTCTTTCTGCCAAATCTATGTTTTATCAATCAGCTGATGTAATTTTTACCAAAAGTGTTAAATTAAGTTTTATTTGAGATATAAAATATGTAAACCTAGTTAACAATCACCATAAATATAAAGAGTAATGATCATTATTGTAACATCTAGCATTTCCCCCACAAATTTCCGATGTTTGTTTTCTGCTGCTAGACAGCCATGTTGGGTGTCCACTGTAAACATCACACCTGGTTAATTCAGTCCAGGGATGTTTGACCCCATTTATTTAGGCCTTTATGGTAAGTGAAAATGAATGTTTTAAACTAGAAACTTTATTTGAGGTGAGATTGTACATAAGAAAAAAAAAAATCCCGACCTACCAACCCTTGATTTATTGGGATATTACAGGAAACAAATAATAGTTTTTAAAAGCCTAATTAGCATTGCGATTCTGCCTATTAATATTTGTTGGCTGTTTTCTTTGTTTGATAAAATACTTGAAGACAGCTTTTTACATTCCAAAAATATCTGGTTTAAATTTTATAACACAAAACCACACGCAACATCTGTTATCTTAACAAATTTTAAACAATTGCACATTTTTGTTCCATTTGATATTTTGTTCGGGCGACCTGAAATTCATTCGGGCAACCTGAAATCAGTACCAAGGTTGCCCAAATGGCGAGACCAAATTTTGACGAGTGTCGAACCCTGGGTTGGTCCATAAAAAATGATTATTGTTTTATATAAGAATATGTAGGAACAAGATGTGTTTGTGAAACACTGATGCCCATGTAAGGCAGCTTATGGCGAAGGTTAGAGTTTCTCAAATGCAAGTCAAAATCCAGGCCAAAAGATAAAAAATGTTGGTACTCAAAGAAAGGGCTTGTCTCAAGGAATATACCTGTGAAATTTGAAAGCCCTAGCTGCAACTGTTCAAAAGATACGGCGAAGGTTAAAGATTTTTAAAAGTAAGTAAAACATCAAGGTCAATGTCAAAATGGTTGGTATCCAAAGAAAGGTCTTGTCACAAGGATTACATATGTGAAGTATGAAAGCCCTAGCACCAACCATTCCAAAGTTATGGCCAAGGTTAAAGTTTTTCAAAAGTAGGTCAAACTCCTATGTCAAGATCAAAGGGTCAAAGTGGTTGGTATCCTAAGGAAGGTGATGTCACAAGGATTACATATTTGAAGTATGAACGCCCTAGCATCAACTATTCAAAAGTTATGGCCCAGGTTAAAGTTTTTCAAAAGTAGGTCAAACTCCTAGGACAAGGTCAAAGGGTCAAAGAAATTGATATCCAGAGGAAGGTCTTGTCACTAGGAATACACATGTGAAGTTTGAAACCCCAAGCACCAACCATTCAAAAGTTATGACCAAGGTTAAAGTTTTTCAAAAGTAGGTCAAACTCCAAGGTCAAGGTCAAAAGGTCAAAGTTGTTGGGATCCAAAGGATGGCCTTATTTCAAAGAATGCACATGTGAAGTTTGAAACCCCAAGCATCAACTGTTCAGAAGTTATGGCCAAGGTTAAAGTCTCATGAAATTTTGCAAAAGTGGGTCAAACACCAAGGCCAAGGTCAAAAGGTCAAATATGTTGGTACCCAAAGAAAGGTCTTGTCACAAGGAATACAAATGTGAAATATGAAAGTCATAGTTCCAACCAATCAAAAGTTATGGGCAGGGTTAAAGTTGACAACAGACAGACAGACAAACAAACAAACAGACAAGCAGACAAACGGACAAACAGACAGACAGGACAAAAACAATATACCCCCTGGATCTTTCGATCCGGGGGCATAAAAAGTATCAGCTGATGATGAACAGAGGGGCCATAGTAACACATGTGAGCTTTGTGGCCCCTGGGCCTTTTGTTTATTTTATCTCACATTTTATAGATCTCTAAACCAGATATGACATAAACAACATAACAAAGCTAAATGTACTATTAGCATGTTTACATTATTCCTGCTGTATTTTTTTTGTCAAATTGTTGCACCCTGAATTTCACTACAATAAAGATGTGGACCAGAAACATTTTACATTATCTTTTATATATGTAATGGACATATGCCGAATACTGTTCTATATGTAAAATTATCAGACTGTTTGAGGCCCTAACGGGCCTCAAACAGTCTGATAATTTTACATATAGAACAGTATTCGGCATATATCTTACTTAAAACATTGCTATTTAAATGTCCAAAAGTTACCCGGAGGAGTCCGATAATTACACAATAGGAGTTCAGGCATCAATAGTTTTCTACCTGAAACCATCTAATAAGTAGACAAAAGAAAAGAGAAAGTTTTTTTCTTTAGACAGTAAAATCAGTGAGTGAACTCTTTTGTTTCATTCATTCAATGGCAGTCGTTTGGCTTAGCAGGAACTATGGACAGTAGTCAGGTGATGAAGGATTTTTTTATGATTCGGAATTTTTTTTTTTATTAAGTGCGTTTGACATTGATACAGATACAGTGTTGGATGATATCTTCAAAATGCATTTTAAATAAAATGCGGATTTTTATCTAAAATTTTGATTGGATGATATAATGAAAATCTTGGGTTTTAAAAGTGCGGTCATTGGCGAACTAACCTCTCTTGGCGAACAAACCTCGTTAAATGAAGAGATTCGCGGACTGGTTCTTTATCAGAAATGCATTTAAATTGGCTTATTAAGAGTGCTGTATCGAAAACGCTTTGTAAAAAAAAAATGAATGGAAAGTGTTACTTCTGAGGAAGGTTAAAACTCCAGTTTCTTCTTGGATTTGCTATTTTTAACAACTTAATTCCCTCGGGTTCGCTTTCCCTGAATTTTTTCTCACTAACTTTTTTTTTTTTTTTGGTTTCTGGACAAATTAAACCTTGATTTCACTCTAGTTGTTGTTTTTAACTACTGTCCGATTTTGTTATCACTGTCGTCCGATAATATGTTACTGGACTGCTAATTATTATTATCGGACGGCTACAGGTAAATTTTTAGACTGCAAGAACAAAGGCATGACGTCACAGCAATGTTTTAATATATGTTATCTTCAATTGATCTTTAACATAAACGAATTGAATCATGAATCTGAAAAATCCTCAGGTCAAATATGTTCTGCAAGTGACTTTGAACTTTTTCCCCCCAGATGTTAATGAGATAAAGCAGCCACGGGTAGGGGAGAACTATGAGTGAACTCGGGAGCGTGGCTTGAGACGATGTCCTAAGTAATAAACTAATAAAAAGCTATACTATTGTCTTTCCCACATTATAGACCCATAAAAAGCTATATTCTGTCCAAAATTATGCATCCAATTAAAGCTATACCTTCTACAAGCTTTCAAAGAAAAAAATTCTTCAATACCTTTTCTGTCTTTTTTTCAGCATGGGTGCCGACCAGTAAAATGGGGGCCTTTTCACTGCTGTATTGATGAATGGACTTAGCCCAGAACAGTACATAATCTGAGTAATATAAAAATTAACATTAATTATCATATAACTTAATCAGTGCACTAGATGCATAACCCTAACCCTGATGTCACTAATTAAACTAAAACTGCCTTCCGTGGGCATGTTCTCCATCTCAGGTACAAAATAAACCCCTTTTTGTGTCGCCTGCAGAGCAGAGCAATACTTAAGGATCACTCGTTATCCGGCGTCTGTCTGTCTATCATATCATGTATCTTGAGAACTATAAGACGATGGATTTGATATTTTTCATACATACAATTTGGCTTTCGAAAAATATGGTTACTAACCTCGTGACCTTTGAACTTGAACCTTCACCTTTTTTTTTCAAAATAATTCATTGTGCTGATATACAGAATCTTTGACATTTAAGAGGTAAGACTGTTATTTAGCACGTGCAGTTTGCCATAAAATATCATGAATATACCAGCATTACAGTCCACATGACCTTGACCTTAGACATACTTTGCAAATATACCTTAGTTCATTTGTCATTATTATAGGGAAGATTGTGATAATTATCATTTTTATTATATGTTTATTAACTCATGACACTGAACTTTGAAACTGCATGTTATGTTCATACCTATTGTCTGTTGACAATTAAACAGATAACTAACGTTAGTAACGAGCACACAGTGTGGAATCTGTATCTCCCTTTACTAAAATTCTTCAAAACTATATGTTTTTATTGCATGAAATATATGGAGATAAAGAACTGTATTCAAGCTCAAAAGTCCATTAAACAATACAAATCAGGAGCAGAGCAAAAACGGACCTCTAAAACAAACACTCGCAAAACAATATTATGTAGCACTATGAGACGTCATACTAGGCACATATTGGAATAATGAAAGATATAGTCAGAAGAAACAACTCTACAAACCGTAGACACGTCTTTTCAGATATGAAATTTACTTACCAGGTATCAACCCGTACCCGTTCACTACAAAACTGTGTAACTAATAATCCATCTCGTAGTTCTTTCCCGACTGTCTCATCAAATTAATCATTTTATTCAAATATTCAATACAAGAAAACCAAACGTGTAAATTCAAAAACAGAGATCAATGCTAAAGCAATTATGCAATTACTATTTATGATCTGCAACATACTTTGTATTCTTCGAACATTATATGACTCTCTGATAAGAGAGATAACTTTCCAAGTAAAATATCCTAGTATTACATGTATAAGTCAGTTTTATTTCACAATACTTAGGTCAGTACTTAGTAGTCAAACAAATAAACTTTGATTATTAAATTCCCCAACTTGAACACATGTAGAATACAAACAAACAAAAAACAAAGACTGAAACGTTTTGGAGAAAACATTTTTGAAAATGATTCTTTTCTAAAAAGCGGTACTTTAATATTTTATGCATATCCTAATTTTAGATATGTGTATGGTTTTAGACTACGATTTTTTTTTTTTTGCAAAAAAGCATTTAACTTAAATAAGGCATTACAAATGAAACATATGCGAATCCAGGAATTTTGAAAGGAAGGGTTCCAAACCCGATCTAAAAGCTTCCGACTATGACCAAAGAAGTAATCTAAAATCCTAATACATGGTAAAAAAAGGTCTAATGTCAATTTTCAAAAACACCTCTAACTTTAAAATTTTTGACATAAAAAAAAAAAAAAAAAAAAAAAAAAAAACTTAACTCCGAGGTAAGGGAAGGGGGTTCAAAGGTAATTTTTTCATAAATTCTTTTGTTGATCTGGATCTTGAATATTGTATAACTATTGCAAACCTCTGTGTGTGTATCCTTTATAAATGGAGCGTTCCTGACAACAAACTTCTTCTCCAACCATTTCATCAAATTTTTTCTCCATATTGAGCACCAGAATGAAGAATGCACGTGGACTCAGGAAAATCTGATGTGAAGAATAATATGAACACTGTCCCGCAAAGTCAACCATGGAGATTTTTTTCTCTGGTTCATCCGAGACATTTTTGGAAACTTGTAAAATTCCTAAATTTTCTGAATTCTCAGCAACAGTTTTACTTTCCTTTACTTTTCCTTCTGCTTCTTCAAAAAATGGAGCCGCGGCTTCGTCTCCTTTAAATGACTCGCTTTCTTTCTCCTTGTTGTCATGTGACATCTCTTCATCATTAGTGGCTTCGCTAACAGTGTCTTCTCCATTATCCCCTCGATCATCAAAATCCATCGCTTTCATTTCATCATATAATTCTTCAGGAGGTTCAGGAACCCTTCGATGTTTACTTGTTCCATCAATTCCAACCTTGAAGTGTTGCTTTTGGTTTGAAGTACTCACTGTAACAAAGGTATAAATAAATAATTCTTATTGTTATATGATTGAATAATTCCCATCTCTCTGATTGGCTGAGATCCAACAATGTTAGAAAAATACTACGTTATATTGACCTGCACGTGATCTTCCAGGTCAATATAAGGAATTATTATATTATAATTGGGTGAGGGGTCGGGGGGGGGGGGGGAGTGCAGGAGGCCTGCCCCTCTCCCAACCTTTTGAGAATGTTACGTTTTAACTTAAATTTTAAGGATAAAAAAATTCAGTGAAAGACCCTCTCCCCACGAAAAGTTAATTTTGATTTGGGAGAATTCTTTTCCTTTTTTATGGGGGGGGGGGGGGGAGTCAAAGATTTGTTTTCAGGTAAGTTGTCATTTTTATCCTTTTCATGCCCCCTTTTTTAAAAAATCAACCCTATATATGTGTCTGACATGCATTTTTTTAGTTTAAAAATTCCAAAATAATACAACTGGTTTTTTTTAACCCCGTTTCTCTCATTATGTTCGGCTAGTACTTCAGTAGATGTGAACAAGTAAGATGGCATGGATTGCGTAATGAGTGTGTGTCATTTAATCACTGAATCATATAATAAAACAATTATTGCTGTTTTTTCAGTCAATACGATGTTTTAGTCCTTTGGGCTCGGTGAATATTGTACTCCTCAGGTGTCTAAATAATCGTATTGACCTCAAAAACCATATTGTAAACCCTTGAATTTTTTTCCAAACAAGACATTGCTGCAACAATGCTAAACTCAGTCACCTATATTTTGTTCTTTTTATTTATTTATTTTTTTTTTTATTTTTATTTTTTTTAAATTTCTTTTATATAAGTATATCAATAAATGTACTTAAAACATTTTTTTCCATGAGCATGCATTTAAATTCCTATGTAGGGATGCTTTGTCTGTAAGATTCTACGTATTAAATCTATTTAAAATGATTGCTATGGTGCATGGTTATCATGGCATCCAACTCCATTCTTCATGGCTAAGAAAATGCTAAAATTGCCCTTTTTGTGAAAATAGGTCTTTATTTGAAGAAGAGAAAGAAATGACAATCATTTTATCAAATACATCACTTTACAATAAAAATGTTTTTTTCTTGTATTTGAATAATTGTTCATTATACATGTAGGAACAAGGTACTAATAGGTCACAAGACATGTATTCCAGTATAAAATTTTACATGTATTCCGGTATAAAATTTTGATCATCGTTTGTAGTCCTACCTTTTATACAGGGGTCGTGACTTGAGCAAAAATGAATCAACATTTACAGAGGATGTTTTCACATTTATATGCTACATCATAGCTTTCCTGTTCTGGATGAGAGGATTTTCCCCTATGTAATCCCTATTGTGGCCCCATCTTACACCTGGGCCATGAATTGTACAATTCACAATTTAAAGTACTTTAGGAAGCTTCCATATCAATTTCAGTTTTTCTGGCTCAGTGATTCTCGGGAAGATTTTTGGAGATTTTTACAGTATATATCAATGCAAATCTTTGATTCCCTATTGTGGCCCCATCCTATCTCTGGGGCCACAATTTGAACAATTTAGAATTTACACTGCCTTACGAAGCTTCCACATAAGTTTCAGCTTTTCCGGCTTAGTGGGTCTTCAATAACTATAGAACATATTATCAAGATAAGTAATATACAATTCCATTCATTTTCCCCACTATGGGGGGAGGGGGGAGGGGGAGGGGGGCAAATACTGTAAACGTATAATATTTGGCTGTGTATTCCAAAGTTAATTGGACGAAAAATCCTCCAAATGGGGATATAGGCAGGATTCCGAGGAAACTGCTCACGTTTCCAATGTCACAGACAACTGCTAAATCAAGTATAAAGCTTAATGTCTTGCACATGTACACATAAATAAGAATATGAAGAAATGCACTAAATCAAATCTACAGTAACAGTTACTTATTCTGAACTCAATTTCCGCCAAATATCGCACAAGCTATATACAATACATTTACAGTAAATCATTAATGTGCATTTTAATGATTTTGTACAAAACATTAAGTATAAATTGTATGCTCATCAGAGGAATGGAAGAGGAACAGAATTAATGTAAACATTATTATTGTTTGTATCTCAAACAAAAACGGACTGTACGATACATGTACATGCCTGTGGTTAACATTTTATACATGACTCTACAGGTAATTTGACATGATATTGACGACTTTTTTAAAGACGGTATTAGATCAGCATAACGTACATACGGGAAAGAAATTAAAGTAATTGATTTATGCTGTGATGCTTTGGTTGTACATGAATAAAGGTTTCATGTATAGTATCAACCTCATAGAATATCAGTGAGACAGCTGGAAATATGAAAACTACAAGAAATTGTGAATTGATTATTTTAATGACAGACATAAAAAACATGTTTACATATGCATCACTACTGCATGGATGGCGACAGGCGTAGATCCAGGATTTTTCCAGGGGGAAGGGGGGGTCCACATCAACTATGACAGATGTAAAACTCAGAAATATCTGGACAAGCATAGAAAAATATCAGCTTCGTAAACCCTGGAAAACCTATTTTGTTTGGGGGGGGGGGGGGGAGGGGGGAGGCACTCTCCTCTAGATGTATATTTTCTGTTTTTCAAAGGAGGAGAAGAGAACATTTGAACTCTGAAACCCCTGCCCCAGGGGTAGGGGGTCTGGGCAAGATATTTTCAAAATTATCAGGTATATTAATTGCCTAGTTCTTCCTCTTTAGAAGTTTGTCTCATTTAAATTATTTTAAACTTTATAAAGGATGTGATCTGAATTCTTTGAGCTTTGTACCCAACATTGCCAATCGCAATGTGTTATTTTTCCAAAGCTCGATAATCAGGTTAAAAGAACAGATTTACTTCATTTAATTCAATTTCCATTCAATAGAGTAATTCAACAAAAGGCGCCAACATTTACTTGAGATATTTGGCACCAAATAATTGTGTTAAACCCTTTCCTAGAAGACAAACGGACTGATCAAGTAGTACAGAAAAGCAGAAAAAAAGGTTACACAGACATGTCCTTATTGCTGGGGAATCACACAAAATGATCAGTTGCAAACAAAAACCTATAATAATAAAGGAAGTAAATACATCAATATTTTGAATCAGTGATCTGATTATTTCTTCTGATGTAAATCAGCTTGCGGAAAATTTAGCTGGCTTACTGTGTCCCCTTAGTTTCGAACCATGGAAATATTGATCGTTTAACTGCCTGACGCTCATGGTGTCAGGCAATAAATTTGGTCAAAGGGTCGAATTTTAAGGACACTATAGTAGAAAACGTGGCCATTTTAGGCATGCATTTATACTCAGACAGATCTAGGTATATCTACAGGTGGTTTGAAAACATGATAGATTCCTGTTGCACCCCACCCACCCCTTCTATCAAACAGGATTGATACTATCAGCTAAGTCTGGATTTTTTTTTAATATGTGTTTTTTTCTTATCACTGTTTGCAGAAAAAACAAATTGCAGGAAAAAAAATGCTACATTGTATTTTCACACTGGGGGATGAAAAGTACTCAGAGATATGAAAAGGGCATTTTATGAAACAAGAGACCCATGAGCCACAGCGCTTATCACAATCACCATGGACTTTCTGTTCGCTATCAGCAGATTCTGATAAATTGCACAACAGGGTCTCTCTAGTCTACTTCTGAACTGGTAAATGATGGGGCACCATTTATAAATCAAACCCATCCCCCCAAAAATCGAAAATTCATGTTATGGATTATAGCATTCTCAATTCTATTTCAAATATTGAAAAATAATTACTTGGGAATAAATCCTATATCTGAAATATATTTTCTCTTGGCAAAGATCAACAGATCTAGGTATGTCTACCACTAAAATTAATGCAATCTTTAAAAATCTTCCTCTTTACTCCTGGACATCAAGCAGTCAAACTGTTGGCATGATTGTAATAAGTATTGATCCCTCTTCCAAAATTTTGAAATTCATGACTCCAGGGTCAGACGTTCTGGTGCTAGGGCGAGGCTCTGTTGAATATATAGTGAAAATGTATTATTTCTTTAAAAATCTTCTCCTCTGCTCCAGGGTATTAAGCCAATGAACAATGTACATAGTTATGATGAGGAAGGGTGCCTCTTCCAAAATTGTGAATTTCACAGCCCCTGGGTCATGGGTTCTGGTGTTGGGGGGGGTCTAATGATTATATAGTGAAAATGCATTAATTCTTTGAAAATCTTCTCTACTCCTGGGTATTCAGCTGATAAACTATGTACATAGTTATGATGAAGATGAGTGCCTCTTCCAAAATTGTGAATTTCACAGACCCTGGATCAGGGGTTCTGGTGTTAGGGCGGGGCTCTAATGATTATAAGAGGAATTTTGGTGACGGCGGGGCCTGGGTATTATGCCAATGATCTAATTACATAGTTATGATGAACAAAGGGTGCTTCTTCAAGAGTTTTGAATTTCAAGGCCCCTTGGTCAGGGGTTCTGGTGTTAGGCAGTGCTCTATTGATTATACAGTGAAAAGGCATTAAGGATTTGAAAATCTCCTCTGCTCCTGGGTATTAAACCAATGAACCATGTACATAGTTATGATGAGGTAGGATGCCTCTTCCAAAATTGTGAATTTCACGGCCCCTGGGTCAAGGGTTCTGGTGTTAGGGCGGGCTCTATTGATTACATATTGAAAATGCATTAATTCTTTGAAAATCTTCTTCTCTGCTCCTGAGCATTAAGCTGATAAACTATGTACTACATACCAGTAGTTATGATGAGGAAAGGTGCCTCTTCCAAAATAATGAATTTCATGGCCCCTTGGTCAGGGGTACTGTTGGGGGGGGTGGGTGGGGGGGGGGCTGTAATGATCATATGAATTAATGCTTTGAAATCTGCTCTTTGGTATCAACCATTTATGATGAGCAAGGGTGCCTTTTCCAGCATTGTGAAATATATGGCCCCAGGATCAGGGGTTCCTGTGGGGTGGGCCACTACTTATTATATAGTGGAAATGCATTTTTCTTTGTTCCTCTGATCTGCTCTGCTCATTAAGTGATCAAAGTAAGCATGCTAAGTGTATAGTTATGATTAGCAATGGTGCCTTTTCAAAATTGTGAATTTCATGGCCTCTAGTTTAAAACACAAACCAAATTCAATTGTTGGAAAGTTGTTGCATGATACTCATGTGATCAATAGGCCCGTGGCCTCTTGCTTTTAGAAGGACATTGTTTCTGAGTCATCATTTCGTTAAGTTCTATGGTCGATACAATGACCTTGTCAGCAAATACAATTTATCATTAAGTCAAATGCTGACTGACGTTTTTCATACTAATTGTTGTTAGGCCATTATTTACACACTGAATTGTCGATTGACGTTATTTTCCGATCATGACAAGGAGCACAAGGCTGTGACCGGTCGGCAGGGGATGCTCACTCCTCCATGGCACCTGATCCCTCCTCTGATGTTTTAGAGGTCCGTGTTTGCTCTGCTCCAAAATATGTATTGTTAAATCGACTTTTGAGCTTGAATACTGTTCATTATCTCGATGTATTTCACTCCAAATAAAAGAACATTGACAGTTATCTCATTATCACGGGCTCTGAGCACTAAGATTTGGTTTGGACTTTTTTGTGACAAAATTTTGCAGTTTGTCACAGACGCAGTATCTTTGTGCAAACACAGGTATGCAATGCACAACAGCCATACCTCTGAATCAAGAGCACTGGTCACTGAGAAGAAAATTCTAAATTATTCCACCCTTTTACTGGATTTCTTGTCCCCCTCCCCTCGAATCTGATACATTTGTCTTAACTTGATTTAATAAGACTGGCTAAGATGTATCAACTTACACGGTTTGCAGGTCCTGATTGATGTGAAAGACATAAATTAATAAAATTAACAAATTATTTTTTAAAATTTGATTGCAAACCCTTTAGCTGGAGAAGGATGCTTTCATCATTTGAAAATAAATTGTTCTATAGTGCGCTGACACAAATATAGAAAAAATCATTAAACAAGAAGCCTATGGGCCATACCGCTCAACTGAGCACATTGGCTAGGAAAAAGCAGAAATCAGTTCAGTATTGAACGGGGGGAGGGGGGGGGGGACTTAAATTTACACTACCCCAGGATGCTTACATATCAATATTACTAATCATGTCTTTGCTGTTCTTAAACAGAAGCATTTTAAAGATTTTTTTCTATGTACAGTAAAACTTGTTTAGTCCGAACACGGATATAGCAAATTCACGGATATAGCGAAGTTTTTTGCGGTCCCTGGCAAAATTCTTAACAATCTTTTGTAAAATTTTAGGGTTATTATGAACTCTGATATAACGAATTTATGGATATAGCGAACTGATTTTGAGTCCAGTAGAGCTTAAAAATAATGAAATTTACAACTTTTATAACGAATTTTACAAAAATCTCAAAATTTGATATATTGAACTGACTTTATCTTCGGTAAGTATTTGTATTTGTACATAAAATTCAATTCATAATAAACCCTAGTTATCAAATATTTTGTAATAATTGCTTCCCTAACATATTCGGTAGTAATACTTGAAAGAAAACCTGTATATTGCGAATTCGCTATATATACTTACACGAATTCGTTATACGGATATAACGAATTACGGATATAGCGAATTAAATTCACAGGTCCCCAGGACTTCGCTATAACCGAGTTTTACTGTATTCCTATGTAAAACTCTGACCTCTCATTGTGGCCCTACCCTACCCACCCTAAATTTGAACAAATTTGAATCTACACTACCAGAGGATGCTTCTATGATAATATGACTAATAATGGTTTTGCAAGATTATTCCTATACATGCATATTCTTATGCAAAATTATGACCCTCTGTTGTGACCACCACCCCACTCCCCCCGGGGGGTTCATTATTTTAACAAACTTGATTCTACAATACCTAAGGTTGCTTCTATATAAATATGACTAATACATGTAATATCTTAGTTATTCTTCAGAAGATTTTAAAGATATTTCCCATATAAAATGTGTGATCAGGTTTTAACAAGGGATATATATATACCGGTAGGTTTTCCTTTTACTCTGTCTGAGTTAATGATTGAAATGGTTAAGACAGCTTTGTCTGAGGGTAAATCACACTGTGACAGTACTTAAATTTTCTCTTATGTAGTGACGGGAACTGGGTAAAGTACCACTTGCCCCATGTTGTTTCCCTAGGTTCACATTGATAGATAAGAACCAAGTGTCTCAATATTCTTCAGATTTAGTACACCCAGAACTTCACATCAATTGCTTAAGATACTTGCCACTGGTGTTTATAACTTTTATTTTTCTCTAACCAATAACTTCTTTATTGCTGATTCAATGACCAATTCTTCAGCTAGCTTCTGAATGCCTGACTTTCCCAAAGCTTTGCCTTACATACCTTTGGTTTCGCTAGTCCATTCCACAGGTTGTGAGGTCGATTCACTATTTGAAGTCTTCAATGCGTTTTACTCAAATGCTCCTTAACTATTACACCTATATATTCCTATGTAAAAGTTTGACCTACTGTTTTGGAACACGTCCTACCCCTGGGGGACATGATTTGAACAAACTTGAATATACTACCTGAGTATACTTTTGTATTTATATTACTAATAATGGCATAGCTGTTCTTAAGAAAAAGATTTTTATTAGATATTTCCGATATATTCTTTTGATAGACGTTGACACCTGCTGTGGCCCTGCCCTAAGCCTAGGGTCATGATTGGAACGAAGTTTAATCTACACTTCCTGAGGATATCTCTATTATAGTATGACTAAGCATGTCTTTGCTGTTCTGGAGAAAATTTTTTTGAAAACATTTCCTCATTATTCCTTTGTAAAACTTTGACCCCCTCTTGTTGCCCCGCCCCACCCCCGAGGGTAATGATATGAACAAACTTGAATCTAAAGTATGTAATGAAGATTTCACATAAGTTTTACCTTTTCTTGCCCAGTTGTTCTTGAGATTTTTAAAAGATATCCACCATTTTTTTCTCTATTTGTTTTATTATCTTTCCTTGAAAAAGGGCATGACACTCCATCTGATCAATCTTAAATCCCCTTCATCCAAGGATGCTTTGTGGCAAGTTTGGTTGAAATTTGCCCTGTGGTTCTTTAGAAAAAGTCAAAAATGCTAAAAAGTTTACAGACGACAGACGTAGGCCGGACACTCTTTGATCATAAAACTCACTTGAGCCTATGGCTCAGGTGAGCTAAAAACGATAGATTTCTGCGGAAGTAGTTCAACACAACTGCCTTTCTTTTTCAAAAATTAACACATATGCATGCTTAATTTACATGAAAATGAAATATTTTGGGTCTAAATGAAGTTTCTGACAAAACACACACATGTCCCCCCCCCCCCCCCCTTGCACTCTCACACTTTAACCAATACCTTTGATTGTGTCTGACACATCAAAAACGTCGGTGTGAACGTCTATGCCTCTGGTTGATCTTGTGCGTTTCTTAATTTTCTTCACATCGATGTCCTTTAACCTCCCCAGCAGCGTCGACTTTCCACTTCCTCCACATCCTACTAACATCCCACAGGCGTGGTACATCGTTGTCTCCCCTTTTTTCAGATTCTCCAAGAAATTCTTCACTGAGTCATCTCCCCTTATTATGATCTGCATTGGTATTCCAACTAAAAAAAATATAGTTAATGTGAGATAAAGAACTCATTTATAAGGATTTTTTGGTTACAAGGAACTTTAATCAATTCCTGCGATAGGTCTCTCACTAGGGCTGTGTATTGAGCAAAATATTTCGATACGATACGATATTTTTATATAGCGATATGCAATATATTGGATTCTTTAACAAGTCTATCAAAAAAGTCTTGTATATCATTTAATCCATAGATTTGATAAAAACTGGGTGTTTTATTATCAAATTGGAAGTTCATGTCCCACTGTCTTTACAAAGTACACTTCAAATTCAAACTTTTGATGACTGTAGAACTAACATGTTAAAATATAGTTGTCTAGGTATTTTGTAATAGTTATTTAAGATGTGCTATTTCCTTAATATTTATTTCATTATTGATCATTTAAAATTCAAAACAATTAAAAATGTCCTTTGGTGACTGAAATTCCCAACTTTTGCACAGAATTATAAGAAAAACTGCCTGCCCGATACGTATTGGAAGTTATTTTTTCGATACGATACATTCCTGAATATTCGATACATATTGATAAATCGATATATTGACAGAGCCCTACCTCTCACGATGTTTAACATGTATTACACGGATATAAAGGATTTCGGTTATAAGGAAGCAAAATTTGAGGTCTTAGAATTTGTATCTTATCTTGATTATGTAAGATGAAAGTTTTCTTTTTTAAACCAAATAAACAAGAAGTCTGTGAACGAATGCTCACTAGTAATATCCCCACTCCCATGTGAATATACCCTCTCATGTTGACATTGAATTCGTTCAAAAATGAATCCCACCATATGGTTTGCCTAAAGAAAGAGTGTGCTCAAATTTCAAGCATCATGTTGACATTGAATTCGTACAAAAACGAATCCCACCATATGGTTTGCCTAAAGAAAGAGTGTGCTAAAATTTCAAGCATCTGCGATGAGTAGTTGCTAGGAAAACTGTGACAAAAATTTATTATGGACAGACGCATAGATAAACAGCAAGTTGACATTAGATTCAAACAAAAATGAATCCAACCATATGCCAGATAAACAGGAAGATGATGTCGGATTTGAACAAAAATGAATTCCACCATATGGCATGCCTAAAAAAAGAGTGTGCTAAAATTTCAAGCATCAGCGTGTAATTGTTGAGAAAACTGCGACAAAATTCTGTTACGGACAGACACACAAGGGGAAAACAGTATACCTCCTCTCCTTCAAAGCGGGGGTATAATTATATTTGACTACAGTTTTCTTTTGTCAAGGGCCCCCATCCAAGCTAGCAAACTCTTTTCTATCATAAAGTAAGGTTAAGGCTCACATGGATGATGGACTGATTGTATACAGTAAAACTCATTTATATTTATATAAACATTTATATATTATACCAGTATTATGGACAAAACAAAGTTTTGTTGGTTTTCCCCGGCAACATTCCTTAAAATTCCGTGTAAAATTTAAGGGTTTTAATGTATTCTAATACTTATTATCATAACGAAAAATAATATAAAGCGAACTAATTTTGTTTCCAATAGATGTTAAAAATAACGAAATAATAAAAACCGTAAATCTTTAAAAATTGAAAAAATATCACAGGGTTTAAACGTATCTATAGACATTGGAATGAGAGACAAACAAGATTTTTCCAGTACACCTTCCATAAATTTTGTGCGAAGGGAATATCGTACATTACAAAACAGTGGAACATGCTTATAACCAAATGCCCGGGATAAACAATTTTGCTTTAATATCAAAGTAATTTGTAATATCTAAAAGGTGTGTGTAGTAAAATGTTTTAAAACTTCATTCTATATCAGGGTCATGCTTTGCTGTAGTAATAAAGAAAAACCTACATTTGTCAATTACAGTTTCCTGAATTGTTGGGTCCTGTATTGTTGGGTGTCTGCAAATATCCTCTCCAAGTCTTTTTATAAATTGGTCAGTTTGCTGTGGCAATAACCAGCAAAAGACTTCACCCTCTTTCTTTGGATAGGCCCATGTTCTACAGTACTCTGCTATGTTTTCTTTTATTGCCAATGCCAGAAAAATATCAATAAATACTAATTTTTTCGCAAATCTAAGAAAACTGGTGTGTTTGAAAAATTCACGAGAAAATGTGACTTTTGAACTATCATGTTTCAGTATTGGCTTGTACTTTTCCAAACTGCTAAGATCAGATTGTTTCTTAATCTTCTTGAATTTGAAAACTTTAGCCACAGCATTATATTTCTCCATCCATTGTTTTTCTTTAAGATTTATTTCGTAGTTCTGGCAAAGAAGAAGGCACATTAAAACTGCATCTCCATCTACAAACAAGGATACGCCTGTAAGATTTCACAGTAACAAGTACATGTTCATTACCAACTTCAACAATTTACAACTTCATTAAATCATAAAGACATATATCAACTTGATAATATAAAATTTGAATTTTTACTGTATATGTTATAATATATGGCTTTTTTTAAGTATAAGGAAATTAGAAGATGCCGGGTAGCATAGATCAGGTGGATTCGGATATAAAGTTTAACAAGGCCTAATCTACTTGATCTGTATACGTTTTCACGCAGTATTATTTCAGACACAACACAGTTTCCTAGATTGCCTATACGAGTGAATACAATAGCATAACTGCTTAAATGAAGTCAAAATGCACTAAAATGCATCAGGTGCGCAAGTAAAAAGCTTTTACTTATTGTCACACTTCTATCATTTATTATTATTTTTTATTAAATAAATGTGTTCTAAATAAATGTTTAAATAAACGATTTTTTATGTACATAATTTATTTTGATAATATAATCAATTCAGATATGTAAAATAAAATATTCAATAGACTAATCTAAATAGAGTAAAAAGTTCAACGCTATTTTAAATTTGAAAAAAAAAAAAAAACACTACATGTACAGCCAAAAGAACCACATTTAGTCTTTTTCCCTGAAATGTTTTAACCTATTTTGTCATTGTCTTAAACATGTATGCAGTAGTTTAATCATTTAAATGCAAAAAAAGAAATAAATTTTAGGTTCCTACATATTACAAAAAATTGTATTTTTGGTTTATCAAACAAAAATAAAAAAAAATGAAAGATAAGTCTTTCATGATTTAAGGTGAGAAGCATCTCAAAACATACAGTTTTTCAACAACTATTTGTTTATACTAGGTAAATTTAGCGACATACCAAGTATTAAAGAGAAAAAAATTGCAGTCTTGTTTTTGTTTGGATATGCCCCCTTTTCACATGAAATATATGGAGATAACGAACAGTATTCAAGCTCAAAAGTCCATTAAACAATACAAAATAGGAGCAGAGCAAACACGGACCTCCAAACATCAGAGGTGGGATCGATATTTATTGACTGTATCTTGATTTTGATTTTACTTCCCATTCAAGAATTTTTCACTTATATAGAGACGTCACCGTATACCGGTGAAGAGCTTCAAATTTAGACCTTTACTCGACACTCATTGCCATTGAGCAGTGAGGATTCGCTATCGAGCCTACGCCTACCATGAGGCAGAACCTCCGTTTAAAGGTCTCATCCAAAAGACCCACAATTTTCACTTCAAAGTACCAAGCGCTTTGTGGAGGAACAGTTGATACCTATTTTTATCGCCTTAGGCCAGTAGCGGCTGGGCTTTGAACCCACGACCTTCCGTTCATGGAGCAGGTGAGCTACTGACTCAGCAACCTTGACGGTTCACTGCAAAAGAGGCTACCTCAAATTAACCTTTCATTTTTCAAATGGCTAATGTATACTATATATATATAAGAAAAGCAAACCATTTTACCCTTTAAGTTTTGTTTTTTTTTAATTTAACAATTCTTTTGTTTATTAGGTAGTTTTACTTTATAATTATGTTTGAAACCATAAAATATCATCCATGTTTTGAAATGGTTCCCATTCCACTGCAATCAAGATAAGGTTACAGAATTTAATTGAGATATTTTTAAGCATTGTAGTCATACAAAAAATAAAGCAAATTTTAAAATATTTAAAGGTTTGTTTACATAATTTTCAACTTTACTGGGTCTCATTAAGAAAAAACATGACATATAGCTTTAATAGAATAATTACAATGGGTTTAGATCATCAACAATGCTCCATGTGTTGGCGATAAAATAGCAATTTTTTTTTTATTTTTACACTTTAATGTCCGAACATATGCTCATAACGAATACACAATGTTTTTATATATATATATTTTACACCCTCAGCCCCAAAACAATGATAATATCAATCTCCTGAACACCACGTCTTTTGTTAACTAATGGTAGGATTGTTAATGCTAGTTTTTTCCCCTAAAATACCTGACTTGTTATGGTTGAAAAAGATTTAGGGCAATATTAATCATATGAAAGCACTGGATAGGCTAAAGGTTAAGAAAGCACAGGTCTTTAAGCCTGACACTTTAACAAAGGTGTATTAAATTATGATAAGCTGTAGAACAAAAAGTCTTAGACTTCTTTAGAATGAAGGGTTAATTATTTTAATGTTTTTCTCAAAGATTTTCTTCATAGTCACAAGCTGCATTGTTACCAATGAAATATGTGGAGATAACGAACAGTATTCGAACTCAAAAGTCCATTAAACATTACAAAATAGGAGCAGAGCAAACACGGACCTCCAAACATCAGAGGTGGGATCAGGTGCCATAGAGGAGTGAGCATCCCCTGCCGACCGGTAGGGTTGGATACCGTTAAGGATGAAACGGAACGATACCATACCGGTATTTTTGAAACGATAAGGTATTTTTAACGATAGGTACTTTATCTTGATGAATGAGAAATGGTTCATTTTAAAACAAATGTGTTTTCACCAATCACCAATCCTTCAATGTTATGATCTAAATAATGAGCTTATAAACTATGTTTATATTTTAACTTTTTAATAAATGATGAACTAAACAAATAAATTGAATCTCAAACAAATTAATTTGACTGGATACATAATCACAAATGGGCTCACCGATTCAATGGATTGCCAGGACCTATTTTGTTTGGTCGCTCTAAACGACGACGCATTAGAAAATGGATAGAGATGCACATCATATTTTTTGCCCTTTTAATTTACATTTATTATCAGTTTTTATTAATAAATCTAAAACACGATTAATGTGAATGTATTTTAATCTGTTTTTTAAATATACGTATTAATTTACCTCGAATATCGACAGTCGAAAACAAGAATGGTACTAAGCATCCATTTCTTTAATTAGCCTAGCCTTTCAATGCGCAGAGAATTCGATTTTAGCGAGTCTGGAATTGTTTTTTTTTAAATCATATTAAATGTATTAAAATGTTTATGAGATTAAGGAATACCGTTACAAGTACCGGTATTAAATGAAACGGTATTTTACCAGTATTTTTAAAGTAACTATTCGGTATGGTATTGGTACCGAGTACCGGTATCCAACCCTATCGACCGGTCACACCCGCCGTGTGCTCGTCATGATCGGGAAATAACGGAAAAATCTGTAGACAATTCAGTATGTAAATAATGGCCTAACAATTAGTATGAAAAAAGTCAATCAGCATATGACTTAATGATAGATTGTATTTGCTGACAAGGTCATTGTATCGACCATAGAACTTACGAAATGATGACTTTAAACGAGACTTTAAACTTTAAGCCTAACCAACCTTTTCTCTTGTGAATTTCATAAAACAATTTCTCAACATCTTTAACATCATGTCTTTTATGATCACTAGAGGTCTTGATGCACATCTCACACAAGGCAACCTCACACGGGATACAGAACTGGGACAATGTACCTCTGGGATGCTTCTTACACTCCAACTTCTCCAGAGGGAGACCTGCAAAAAAGGATTTAAACATATTCACCAAAATATGACAATACTAACAAGAGGCCCATGGGCCACAATGCTCACCTGAATAACTATCGTTCTTTTGTTCTTCATCAAAAGATTATTTGTCCAATATATTCTTATGTAAAATTTAGATCACATACTGTGGCCCCATTCCAACTCGAGAATACATGATTTAAACAAAATTGAATCTACATTACCCAAGGATGCTTCCATATCAATAGGACCAACCATGCCTTAAAAGTTTGCTATTCTTAAGAAAAGAACGTTTTTCTTTTCTATATATTTCTTTGTAAAACTTTGATCACCCATTTTGGCTTCAACCTACCTGGGGAAGTGTCATTATTTGAACAATTTGAATTTACACTACTGACGATGCTTCCATATAAATATAACTTGTCTTGGCCTTGCCTTTCTTGAGAATACTTTTAATCTATTATTTAATTGATATGTAAAATTTTTTATCACCCATTGTGGCTCCAATCCAAGCAACCCCCCACCATTGGGGGTGTCATGATTTGAACAAACTTGAATTTACACTATCTTATGAAGCTTTCACATAAGTTTCAACTCTTTTGGTCTAATGGTTCTTGAGAAGAACATTTTTAAAGAGTTTTCATTCATATTCCCATGCAAAAACTCATATTCTCAGGGGACAAAGACTTGATCAAATTTGAATCTACACTCTGTTAGAAAGCTTTCACATACGTTTCATCTTTGATGGCCCAGTAGTCCTTGATAAAAAGAAGTTTTAATGACCCCAGCCATTTTTCTATATTTCTTAATTATCTCCCTTTGGAAGAGATGAATGTTCTTCATTTGAACAATTTCAAATCCCTTTATCCCAGGACACTTTGCACCATAATTAAATCTGCTTTGAATTGGCCCTGTGGTTCTGGAGAAGAAATTGAATACTTGTAAAAGGTTTACAATGACAACAACAACAACAAATTTTGATTAGAGAAGTTCACTGAAATCTTCAGCTCTGATGAGCTAAAAAGGGATAAACTTTGAAGGTAGAATATTTAATGCATTGATTTTGAAATCAATTGGCTATCTATTTGTCAGGGGAAAACATAATACTGTGTTTGATCTCTATCACACCTCAATAGCATTGGTGGTTAATTTACTTCTTAAAGAGTACCAGTGCTACAATTCCATGTCTGTAAAGCAAATGGTTCTCAAGACACTAAGTTGACAAATTTTGTTGTGCCCAGTGTCTATCTTTTTTGGCTCTTGATCTTTGACCTGGTGACCTAATAAAGCAACAGAGGTGTTTCACACCCTAGATGAAACTACTGTACCAAGTTTGATGCCTGTAAATAAAATGGCTCTCAAAATATTCAATGGTTAATATCTTCCTCCATGCAGGTCGTCACGGTAGCTCAATCGGTAGAGCACTCGCTCTGTGATCAGGTCATAGGTTCAAACCTGAGCAGCAACTGACATAAGTTGATAACTAGAAATATGTCCATAGGACATGAATGCTCCGCCAAGGGTATATTAGTAATGCAACATAAAAATTTGTATTAGTGTATGAAATTTGATGAGAAGATCTTGAATAGTTTCTTTAAACTTGAAATCTATAAAGTTGGATATAGATGATAAATTCTCACCAAATTATTTATAAGTGCATAAGCTTTCATAAATATATCTTACATGGTTTCTTTAAAACTAAGCAAAGTGCAAATTTAAGAAAAGTGAGGTCAAGGTCACAGGAAAGTTCAAGGTCAAACATTTCTGATGCAGTTGAATAGTTCTCACAAATACGTATCAGCATATTAAGCTTGATAAAAATATTCTGAATGGTTTATTTAAAACTGAGCTAAACACTAATTTGAAATAAATGAAGTTAAGGTCAAAGGAAAGGTCAAAGTCAAAAAATGTTGATGCAGTTGAAAAGCTTACATCAGTATGTATCAGCATATGAAGTTTGATAAAAATATCTTGATTGGTTTCTTAAAAACTAAGCTAAACACTAATTTAAGAAAAGTGAAGTCAAGGTCAATGGAAAGGTCAAGGTCAAAAAATGTTGATGCAGTTGCATAGCTCTTATCAATAGCTATCATCGTATGAAGTTTGATGAAAATATCTTGGATAGTTTCTTTGAAACTGAGCTTTGAACTGAGCTAAACGCAAAAGCGCGATGGAAGGACAGACAGAAGGATGGAAGGACGGAAGGATGGAAGATGGACATGACAAACACTATATGCCATATTTATGGCGAGGCATAAAAATAGGTAGCAATTGTTCCTTTGCCAAGTGCTCAGTACTTCGAAGTGAAGTTGTGGGTCTTTAGTCAGAGGCCTAAAAACTGAGGCCCTGTCAAGGCCGTGTTAAAGCAGGCTTTGGCAAGATAAAAATCCCTCACTGTTCAATGGCCCTGAGTGTTGAGTTAAGGTCTAAATTTGAAGCCCTTCATCTGTGTATGGTGACGTCTCTATATGAGTGCAAAATTCTCGATTATTTGAATATGACGTAAAACAACAATCAATCAATCCTACATCAGGTTTGACTTCTGATCGTTTACCTTGTGACCGCAAAGTCTATAAAAATCATTCACTCCTTAAGGAGAACCAGTGTGTAAAGTTTGATATATGTTCAGCAAAATGTTTTCAAGATATTGAGTGGTCAACATATTTATGTCCAGTTTGACCCTTGACCTTTGACATAGTGACCTCAAAATTAATCAAATTCATCTCCTTTCTAAGTAAAACCACTGCACAAACATTGATGTCTATCAAACAAAGGGTTCTCAGGCTATTGAGTGGTCAACATCTTCCTATGTTCAGTTTGTCCAATGACTTTTGACTTGAGACCTAATAAGCCATAGAGGTCATCTATTCCCTATATATGGAACTAATTATCAAATCTGATATCTGACAAGTAAAGGTTCACAAGATATTGAACGATCAATGTCCTCCTATGTCCAGTTTGACCCTTAACCTTTGACCTTGTGTCCTTGAAATCAACAGGTCATTTACTTCTCAGTAAAAATCAGTGTACCAAGTTTGATGTCTGTCTAGCAAATGTTTATTTCTACATTTGTTTGATCCTTGACTTAACTTAACTTCAGAGGGTAGTAAGTTTGGGTTCTGTCAAGCATAGAGTTCTCAAGATATTGAGCAGAAATTACACTTGGATTGTCAACCAACTGACCAACAGGTAAAAAGCAATATGCCTCCTTTTACAATATACAGACAGAGAAAGAAACCAGTTCAGCATTTCATCATTCTGTATCTACTTAGTTTGGGTCTTTAAAAATATGACACTGAATAGATACAATGTTAGAGGATATGCTGACAGGAAACTGGAAACAGTAAAGCCATATTAATTACCGTAGCCTCTTCCCTTAAACATGTAAAGTCCAAAGTAACAAGGATATCTCGGGTTAAGAATTCTGAACTACGAAAATTATTTGTTATACAAGGAACATCACTAATAAAAACAGTTATCAGTCCGATATGGCTATAAAATTGCCTCAAAAATTGTTCAGCAAACTTGATTCGAGCATAAAGGGTGAACAAATTTTACATGACAGGTAGTATTATTGGCCTCCTGATTGCCCAGTTAAATTGGACAGCGATATTTAAGGAAGAGTGCAACAAAACTTCATTTAATTTATTTCAAAGAAATCTCTTTTGTAATATGGTTTCATCGAGGAAAGATTTATATCAGCTCATAATATAATTTTTTTTCAAAAGACGCTCACCTGAGTAACTTTTGCTCTGCCGTTCTTCACCAGATTTTATATTATATCTTAATATAAAACTTGGATTCCCAATTGTGGCCCCACCCTACCCTCTGGGGTCATTATTTAAATAATTTAGAATTTACACTACCCCAGGATGCTTCCACATAAGTTCCAGCTCTTCTGGGCTGGTGGTTCTTGAGAAGAAGATTTTTTAATATCCCCCTTTTTTGTCTTTTCTTGATTACATCCCCTTGTAAGGGGACTTGGCCCTTCATTTTAACAATTTTGAATCCCCTTAACCCAAGGATGACTTGTACCAACTTTGATTAGAATTGGCAAAGTGGTTCTTGAGAAGAAGTGAAAATGTGAAAAGTTTAAGACGGATGGACGGGTGATCAGAAAAAGCTCACTTGAGCTTTAAGCTCAGGTGAGCTAAAATTGTTTTATTTACATATCTAAATTAAATTCAATGTGGCTCAGGTGAGCTAAAATCATTATAGAAAATTATACTTTTTATTAGTCTTTGATTATTCAAAACCTATGTATATACAAATCATCAAATGTTTGGAAAATCTTTCCTCTTTTCCTCATGATAAAATTTATTGAGGATCACTTGTCCATTTTTCTTTATTTTTCATCATCCACATCAAATCTCACATCATTTTTTTCCTGACACAGACTATAAACTTTTTTTGATTCAAATACACAAGCATTGTATGAAGAAGACAGGACATGAGTTCACTCCCTAAGGTCAGTAAAGCATGTAGATTTACTGAACACCTGCTACAGAAAAAGACAACATTCCTAGACAGAGCTGTGTTAATATCAATGGTGTCTATATCTGTCAACATGTACAAAATGTCACTGATCTGAAGAATACTGAAGACAGTGAATTTTTCATAGAGACTGAGTTACCAGTTATATTCCTGCTTAAGACTACAAATAATGCCCCCCCTTACTTCTCATTGCTACCCCCCCCCCCCCCCCCCCCCCAACTACCACCACTACACCACAATCATTTCCTCATATCTGTTGTGAACTATAAATTTAACCTGTGATGATGAATTCAAACCAAATACAGGACAAAAACCCAAAAGGGCATAATATTCAAATTATGATTATATCCAGTCAGAGTAGATCCAGTTGTACATGATGTACAGAATCTGTGTAAAGTTTGATCTGTAGTAATAAGTAGTTTGTATAAGACAACAAAGTTATAGTACACTAACACGATTATATACCTATATATATAGGTATGATTATATCCAGACAGAGTAGATCCAGTTGTACATGATGTACAGAATCTGTGTAAAGTTTGATTTCTAGTAATAAATAGTTTGTCTAAGACAGGAAAGTTATAGTACACTAACATGATTATATACCTATATATATAGGTATGATTATATCCAGTCAGAGTAGATCCAGTTGTACATGATGTACAGAATCTGTGTAAAGTTTGATCTGTAGTAATAAATAGTTTGTATAGGACAACAAAGTTATAGTACACTAACACGATTATATACCTATATATATAGGTATGATTATATCCAGACAGAGTAGATCCAGCTGTACATTATGTACAGACTCTGTGTAAAGTTTGATCTGTAGTAATAAATAGTTTGTATAAGACAACAAAGTTATAGTACACTAACACGATTATATACCTATATATATAGGTATGATTATATCTAGACAAAGTAGATCCAGTTGTACTTTATGTACAGACTCTGTGTAAAGTTTGATCTGTAGTAATAAATAGTTTGTATAAGACAACAAAGTTATAGTACACTAACACGATTATATACCTATATATATAGGTATGATTATATCCAGTCAGAGTAGATCCAGTTGTACATGATGTACAGAATCTGTGTAAAGTTTGATTTCTAGTAATAAATAGTTTGTATAAGACAACAAAGTTATAGTACACTAACACGATTATATACATGTTACAAATCTTTGTACGTTTGCTAATTATATATATGTATATATATATATATTTTTTTAAAAGCATTTATTATTGGTAATCCCCATCTGCTATAATCATCATCATCTTCTTTAATTAGTTTCTTTTCTTTTCTCTTAATATCGACATGTTGTTACTATCAATTTTGAATTTCTTCTTGTGTATATAATTCTTTACTTGTATGCCCTGAGGGGCCCCAAATTGGGATCAATAAATCTTATCTTATCTTATACCTATATATATAGGTATGATTATATCCAGACAGAGTAGATCCAGTTGTACATGATGTACAGAATCTGTGTAAAGTTTGATCTGTAGTAATAAATAGTTTGTATAAGACAACAAAGTTATAGTACACTAACACGATTATATACCTATATATATAGGTATGATTATATCCAGTCAGAGTAGATCCAGTTGTACATGATGTACAGAATCTGTGTAAAGTTTGATCTGTAGTAATAAATAGTTTGTATAAGACAACAAAGTTATAGTACACTAACACGATTATATACCTATATATATAGGTATGATTATATCCAGTCAGAGTAGATCCAGTTGTACATGATGTACAGAATCTGTGTAAAGTTTGATCTGTAGTAATAAATAGTTTGTCTAAGACAACAAAGTTATAGTACACTAACACGATTATATACCTATATATATAGGTATGATTATATCCAGACAGAGTAGATCCAGTTGTACATTATGTACAGACTCTGTGTAAAGTTTGATCTGTAGTAATAAATAGTTTGTCTAAGACAACAAAGTTATAGTACACTAACACGATTATATACCTATATATATAGGTATGATTATATCCAGACAGAGTAGATCCAGTTGTACATGATGTACAGAATCTGTGTAAAGTTTGATCTGTAGTAATAAATAGTTTGTATAAGACAACAAAGTTATACACTAAATGATTCTAAACCAAGAAAACATCAAACCTGTAAACAATTCCTAGTCACCATCTCTCTAGTCTCAATATTATCAGACCAGTAATTACAGATTTATTTATATAGATCTGTATCTGTTAGATTTAATCTTGTTACTTAATTAATACAACAAATCATAATCCATGTAATTAACATGTAATGTAGTTATACTTATAACAACGAGTACAGTTATTCATTAACAACTTGTGATTACATTTAAATTAATGACTATAATTAATAAGTTTTAATTAAACTTAAAACAATGACCATATTTATTTCATATTAATGGCTTCTTTAATAATCATCTAGGTGTAAACAATGACCCTATAAGATCATAATTAATGACTTCATTAATAATTATCTAATTATATTTATAATATTGTTTACACTTGGTATTGTAAAACAGAAGACATAAACACAATACAACAGTATGACTTACCGGTCAGAGAGTCTCCATAATTAAGTCTATAGATGTTTACTTTGTTGTTGTACCGTGATCCAATCCAGAGTAAGTGAGTTCTATCATCATAACTCAGGCCCTGTGGTCTGTCTATCCCGTGTTGTTCTCTCTCTATCTGTGACAGGAATTGCCCGTCCTTGTCAATCATCTGTACTGTGTAGGTGTTATAATCACACACCAGGATGTGTGACAGCGCGTCAGTACAGATTCCAAGTGGCCATAGTCCTGATCCTGATGGAGGTCCTGTGTAGGAGAAGCGATATCTTCCTACATGATCTGTCACCACTACAGCATAACGGTCATAGTCAGACACAATAACATCTCCATTGTGGTTCTCTGTGATGTAGTGAGGCCATCTATACAGTCCCTGACCTGTGTTGTTGTACTGTATGGTCTGTATGTGTTGTCCTGTGTTATTGTAACGGTTTACCTGGCCTGTCCATGTATCAGTATTATACATCCCGACCAGCAGGTCTCCAGTGGAGGGGGAGCTGTAGACACACCGTGGTTCCCATGGTGCTGTGTTGTACTTTATTAATGTAGTCTGTACTCTGTGATCTGTAGACAGTTTGTTGATGTTATATCTACTGTCTATATAAATTAAATCACCGTCTCTAGTCACTGTGTGTCCTCCATAACCACTAGCTATATCTGTCAGATAATGTAGTTTATCCCCTGCTGTGTTTGTCAAGATGAGATTGTTATAATCATCACTGATCCAGACCCGGTCTGAGGATACACGGGTAATGTGCCATACACAACTAACACCTGTCACTGTGACAGATTTCTGTAACACTAATCTATACATCATTGACAGCAGACATTTATTTCATCTTTATCCTGTGGTTTTATAACAGAATCCCGTGTAGATTTCCTCAGTCAGGGAGATCTCTCTGTAAATAACAACATTGTACTAGAATTATCTACATCAATAACAAGTCTGTCTTTACACTTATAATGTTTTAGATAAATAAATATGATGTAACACATAAATATATACCTATATTAACTAGTGTATCTGAACACTTTATATATGGTTTATAACTATAGTGTCTTTGTACACTTTATATATGGTGTCTAATTATTAAAAATACACAAATCTCTGTACACTCTGACTCTATTATCTAGATGTATGTCATCAAAATGCATACAATAATATATTTACATGTACACACGTGTAGAATCCTTAGACTGTGTCTGTGATCAAGGTGCCGTGTACACACGTACGGTATTTATATACTGGGTCTTTGATCAAGTTGGCTTCTTCCATCTTGGAGTCGAGCTCGAGGCTGAAGCAAAATTGACAAAATTAGAGCATCTTCATGCAAATGTAAGAATATTTTAAACATGTATGGGAACTCATATTTTGGTACATACATACACATGATACATACATGTATTAAAATAATCATTTTCAATCAGTTAATCAAATATCATCAGATTGGGAACCTCTAAATGGTTATAATTAATGTTGAAGTCATTTCACATGTTCACTTGCATCTGACTTCCACTCAGGTAAACTCCCCTCCCCCTCCTTACTTTTTTCTGACTGTAATTTTTTTATTAATTAAGAATGAAAATGTTCATTAAAAGGCTAGTACCCCATCTTTTTTGATCCAGTATAACTTAATCCCTCTTATGTTAATGGACCTAGCCCCACATCCCTATGTCCCTAAATAAGATTTTGAAGTTTGGAGAATTCTGGGTTGTTTTTTTTTTGGTTAAAGATTTTTTCAAGTTAGTTATTTTTTTTTCCTGTTACTTTGATGCTACATGCCTAATCTTTTTTTTTCAAATATAGATTATGAATTTCCAAACGAATACAAATAGTTATGTTTATTTTAAACTAAATTTTCATATCATTTGGGTAGGACTTGAACATTTGTAATTAATCAACAAAGATATCATAGTTTCCTTAACAAGTTTGTATCATTTAATCATAAGATAATATAGTAAAACAATTATTGCTGTTTTTCAGTCAATGCCACAATTTAGCCACCCTTGAAGTACAAAACTTTGGCCTTGGTGTATATTGTACTCCTCAGGTAGCTAAATCATTGTATTGACCTAAACCAGAAGTTTCTGATAGGACTGTAGCTCTACTGGTGTGTACTTGTAATAAAGAAAGGTATACCTTAGTATAGTTCACTAAAATCGATATACAAAACTATGTAGTATAGTATAGTATACAGTTATGCAATGGGTTTGAGGGAAATAGCAAATTTATGGTTCCCCAAGGGAGGAAACTATTTCCCGAGGCGGCGAAATTTTATGTATTTTATGTATGATTTTACCACGTTGAAATGTTTTGACGTCATAGTTACATTGCTAATAACATTACGTCACAGACTCGAGATTCATTGAACGCTCCGCCCACTGTTCATTTTAATTTGTTAAAATTATTACTAAATATTCATGAGGGAGTAGTCCCAGGGAGTAGCTCCGATTTTTCAGGGAGTAGTCCTCCGATGAGGGAAATAGTATCTTCTCAGGGAAATAGACAGTTTTATGGTATTATTTTATGTAGAGTAATAACAGTTGAGGTATAATAGTATAGTATAGTATAGCATAGCACAGCATAGCACAGCACAGCACAGCATAGCATAGCATAGCATAGCATAGTGTAGTGTAGTATAGTAAAGTATAGTATCGTATAGAATAGCATAGTATAGTATAGTAATATATAGCATAATATAGCATAGTATAGCATAGCATAGTATTGTATACACTTGTCCTCTGGCTGTGAGTGGGATAGCTCATTTATCACACCCACAACTTATTCCCCGAGAGCTTGCACGAGGCTTTCAAGAGGGGAATAGTTCCTGTCAAAGTTTTCATGAAAGAGCTATCCCACACATCACCAGGGGATAAGTATTTTATTTTACTCTACCTCTGATGATTTTCCGATGAAATCCTGGTTTCCGATTGGTTGAAGTCTGTCACGTGAAGGGGGTGTATTACTTATACCTAGTCGCTTGAAAATCAAAGCATGGTTGACGCGGACAGGAATAGACATTAACTTTTAGATTCACTTGCCCTTTGGGCAAGTGATCTCAAACTTTGATTTGCCCGAATGCAAAACTTGGTTGCCCAAAATTAGGAATTAAGAATATTATTTATTAATACAGTAAATGTTTTGATAAGGAAAAAGTTGACCACATACACTACTGTCACTTTGACAAGTTGATTTTCATGAAAACATATCGATGCTGCATTCGTTCTTAAATATGTATCATTGTCCTTGTCAATTTGACCTGATAACACACACTGCCATGGAGTAATTACATGTATCAATTTTTCTCCCCCCCCCCCCCCCCCAAAAAAAATAATCATATTTTAAAAAAATATTTTTGGTAGAATCCTTTTGTGAATTTCAGAGATATCTGTGAAGAAAAGGTAAAGGAAGACATGCATATCATCATGTAACTAATCAAATTTCCTAATAAGAATTTAACAAAGTTGTTAGATGTAGAACGTATTTACCAAGAAAGAAAACAGCCCGATTTTTTAATGGATGGTTTAATCTAAAAATGCTACTAAGGAATTCCTAATGCAAATCGATGTCAGTCAGGTATCTAGCGGAAATCAAGTGTTCAAATTTATAAATAAATGTAAACTAAATAAACATTTACATCTCTATGATAAAAAGTCACTTGCCCGATCGGACAAGTAAGTAAACAGTTTCACTTGCCCGAACTGATAATTTACTTGTCCCGGGCAATCGGACAACCGTTAAAGTCGATCCCTGGCAGAGTTATCGTTCTTTTCTAACACTTCGAACAACTCGAGTTCACGAGGTTTGCTGGTGTCTGTTGATAAGTAGAAAGTTAATCAACGTAAGTAACGAGATGGAACCTTTTTTCTCACTCTACTTAAAGTCTTCAAAACTGTCAGTACGTTATGAAACACTCGGAAAACAACATTACGTAACACAACGTGACGTCATAATAGGCATTGTATGCATGATGAAACACATTGCGGAGAAAAACAATTTTACAAACCACAGACCACAAACATTTCATCGGTCGGGTAAATTCGTTACATAGTTTTGTAGTGACAGGGTACGGGATGATACCTGATTAGTAAATTTCATACCTGGCTCGGCTTCGCCTCGCCAGGTATGAAATTAACTAACCAAGTATCATCCCGTACCCTGTCACTACAAAATTACGTTACTAAGAATACCAGTTGATGTTCTAAGAGTTGGATTACCAGATACTTCAATTTCATCGGCAAAACATGGAAAGAATAATTATTAAAGTTTTGAATAAGTTTTTGGAGCAAGATAACACTACAAGAATGAGCTGAAATCCTGATGACGCCACAGTGCTACTGAAGTCGTGATGATATCATCATCTAGAGATTGATAGCAGGAAATCAAAATTGACATCAAAAATTGAATGAAAATTTTTAAGGGGTGGATAGCGCAATCTATTCCCAGGGGTACAGATTTCCTAGGCATGAAATTTTCAGACTACAGAAGAATAGTTATTTTACTCTCTTAACTTGATATAGGAAATGTTTTTACAGATTATAAAAATATAATATATTACCTTAGTAAAATAAACTTGTGTACCAAGTCTTAAAAGTCAATAAGCAGAATTATGTAGTATAGTATAGTATTGTATGGTATAGTATAGCATAGTATAGTATAGTATAGCATAGTACAGTATAGTATAGTCTAGGACCAAAACTGTAGAAATAGATTGTTTACAGACAGACAAACAGGGAGACAGATGGACAGGTGTCAGACACATTACCTGTGCATAAGCTTTTTCTGGTTTCTGACCAGTAGTGCTAAAAACAACAATAATTTTACAGCATAATACATGTATCTTCTATATTCTCTTTAAACACATACATACATTATGTATACCACAGTGATTTCCTTTGGTTATGAACAGCAAACCCCGTCTGTGTCATTGGGGGGATTCTGTGAAGATAAAACATCAGGGGTCACTTTATTATATTCTACAATTAGGTATAATTTTATTGATGAACTCCTTTTAGATGTAAGAATGATATAGGTTCTTTCTTACTTAATATTATGAATTTCTAAAACAATTGACTCTAGTACTTTACACACTCTGCGCATGCATAAATAATGTATGCCATATTTTAAATGTTTTCTCATATCTATTCCTACAAATGGAGCTAAGAAAACCTGAGCTTGGGTGATTTCCTCTTCCTTTACACAGCAACACAGCACATTCATGAGGAAATCTGTCCAAAAAAATTCAATGTATTATAATTCAATATTATTTCATTTCTTTAATTAAAATTTCACAAAATTAAGATACAAATGCAATTAATTCTATTCTTTCTAAAAAATGAAAGGCTGTATATATGAACAAATCGGAAGTCTCCGACGAGACTGTAGCTCTCGCCACTCTACTGGTTTTTTTTACTTAATAAAGCAAGAGGAAGGCAGCAAATTGATGAAAACTGTAGAATTTTTGTTTTGAAAGAATTTCTGAGAAATTTCTTTTTTTAAGTAATCAAGGCAACACCATTCATTGAAATCAAAAACCAGTATACTGAACAGTTCTTGCATCTTATTTTAGTGTGAACATATTTAAATGTATAGTTCTTCAGGATGCTTCCATGTAAATATGTTAAATTATCAAAACTTTTCTGTTCTTAAGCAAAAGATTTTTAAGGTTTCTCCTATGTATTCTTATGTTAATTTTGAGATCCTATAATGGCCCAACCGAACTCCCGGGGTCATGATTTGCACAAACTTCATCTAAGGATCCTTCCATCAAAAAAAAAATGACTGACCTTGGCTTTGCTGTTCTTCATCAGAAGATGTTTAAAGATTTTATTATATATTCTCTTGTAAAA